CTAGGGTTCGAACCTGTGCTCCAGGGCCAGTGTTCCAGGAACTAATCACCCCTACAGAGCCCCCAGCGCTGTGGAAGGGGGGCAGGATCCCTTCCCTCTCTCCCAGGCCCTGTGAGCCCAGAGGGAGGCCAGCATCAGAAGCAGGAAATGAAGAAGAATTTGCGATCTAATTGAGCTGGCAGGGGATTAGGCAGCAGAATGCAATTACAGGGGCTGGAGCTGGGCCAGGGGTACTGACACCCCGAGATGTGGCCTGGCCCAGGTGACTGGGCCCAGCCAGTCTCTGGCCAGAGACACCTGACTTGGGGTGGGGTGGGGAAGATGGGTAGAGGCAAGGGCTGAGACCTCAGCCTACAGAGGACTGAAGGGTTCCAGCTCCACATGAGACCCAGAAGCAAGAGTTTTCCTGGGAATTCTCCCCCAGGGAACAGCCCCTTGGACTGTCATATGAGGACTAGGCAGACAGGGACACATGCTCTCATAGGCTCTGCTCATGCATGTACACGCATGTGTTCACACTCCCAGGTAAGCCCTGCATATCCATGTTCACCTGCACTGGGGCAGACTTCCCAAATTGCAGACACACAGCTCTGGCCCTTTGCTGTCACTAGCTCCACCAAAGAGGGGGGGGGACACGACCCCCCCAAAACCACTCATGACCTTAAAATCCTTTTATTCCTGTAATCACAGGCTGCCATCGCCGTGGATACGCGCTGTCACCCTGGCCCCAGCCTGTCTCCCTCTGCGGCTTCCAAAACTCCCAGCAGGCAGGCAGACGGGGAGGCTGCCCAGTTATTGCTTGGTGGGGGAGGATCGGGTAGGAAAGGTTCAATTCTACACACACATGCTACACCCACTCTGGGCCTCAAACAACCAGAGGAGAGACTCAGACAGACAGACTGGCAGACAGAGATACAGAAAGAAAATGGAACACACAGCCACCAGAGAGAGAAGACAGAGACCACTGCCCACACAATTCAGACATGCACACTCCCACATTCACACACACATTCACAATTCAGATACACACCGCTAGGGAGCCAGACACTCCCAGATTCATAAGCATATACAAAACACATACACAAAAATCACAAACACAAACTCCAAAATTCTAAGCACACAAAACTCATCGAATATATACATTCTCAGATTCACAGGGACATATCCAACTTTCACATACACAATCTCGGATGCCCAACCACACATGTACACAGACAATGCAGATCTGCACACTTCTAGATCCACATATGCATGCCCAGATTCATAAACCCATGTATGTTCAGACTCCCACACCCTCAGACAGACAGACATTTAACAGAGATTCACCGATATAGACACACAACTTATAGACACATGTCCTGAGTCATAAGCACACACATCGCCCAGATTCCCACATCCTAGACCAACAGACTAGTGCCCACGCAGCCTCAGCTCTGTCAGCTGACACTGCCTCTGGCTTTGGGGGGCAGGTGGAGGGTTGGAGATTCCTGGGTCTTTGAGGGGGCAGTCCTTTCTCATTGCGAGAAGCCTGGGAGGGTGGGCTCAGCATGAGGGAGGGGAGCGGGGGGAAGTAAGAGAAAGCAGAAAAAAACTTTAGTGGGATATTCTTGTTGGGCAGTAGCGCGTGAGTAACGGGGGAGGCTTTTTGTGGTCTGGTGAGTTCCAGCTATGAGTGAGAGTTTAACTATTAATACACTTAATCAAGGACACTTCGCACACACATACACAACCACACACACAGGGCTGGGGTGGGACCAGGTGGTGCGGGGAAAGAGAGAGCACGCCCCAGAAAAAAAAAGGGAAAGCCCCAAACAGGGCCCCAGGGGGTGGGAAAGGGGGCGGAGCTTCCACCGGGGCCTGCCTCTAGAGCCCGGCCAGAGTGATTCATTTCTGCACCCCCAGAAGGGCGGGGTTTGATACACAGCAGGTGCTCAATGAATAAATGAATTACACATAAAGAGTGGGCGATAATAAAAACTAATAACAATAAGCGAGCCCCCCCATCTTGATCACTTAAGGCAGGCTCCAGAGCACCATGCACGGGGAGTTAATTCCCACTAAACGATCAACCCACCAGACAGGGGGCTTTCGCAAAGCAGGCCTGGGTCTGGCTCACCTGTATCCCCCCATTCCTCCACCCCACCCTGCACCCTGAAAAGGTAGATGACCTCAGCCCAGCCCACAACCCTCTCTCTCTCCTAGGGAGACCCCCATCTACATTCGACCCTCCCATAAAATAACTAGGTGGGATCCTAAAGAAAGTAGGATATTTAATTCCCACAAACTTGGTTCTTTATCTGGATGCAACCCCGCCCCCACGCTCCTATAGGCCTGTTTCACACTTGCCAAATGGGTAGAAGGCAGGCAAAGAGCTGCTAAGAGGCAGCCAGAGTCGGGGGTCACGGTGGGAACCCATGGAACATAGGCCTGTGCTGGCCTGTGCCTTGGATGCAGAATCCTACCCTCCCCTTCCCCCACCCAGTGCAGCCCAGCCCAGCCCAGCCCAGCCGGGTGGACATTCCAGGCCTCACGTGATAAAGACGAGGCCACTGGCCCTCGGGTAAGTCAACAGGCTCAGTCGCGGGAGAGATAGGAGGCCCGGGCCAGGGTCACCTGCTGAGCCGGGAAAACAGCCGGCCCAAATACACACATAAATAAGGCACCAACCGACAGCCAGCCAGCCAAGGGTCTGTCTTCTGCAGAGGTTCACCTTGGAAAGGGAAGTGGCATGGAGAGGGAGGCCAAGGCTGGCTAGGGGCTTCCCTGGGAGAGACTCAGCTCCAGCCAGGATTGGCGGGGGGTTCTACCAGGCTCCCCAGGGTTGACTAAGAACTCAAAGGCCAACCTCCCTCAGCTGTTCTCACCTCTTCCCAGGGCAAAAATCAAACCGTCACCCCCTCTCCCTCCTCCCCAAGGAGAGAGGACAATTTCCGTTCTGGGAGGGGGGTGACAGCTGCAGAGCGGGCCACTCCCCACCCCCACCCCCCAAGCTCCAGCTTGACTCTCATCTAGGGAAACTGCTAAATCAACACTACGCAGTTACGGGTAGGTAGCGCCGGCCTGAGTCTCTCCGCACGGCTCTCAAAACGGCTTTGGAGGGGGCTTCGGGCCCCAGTTTCTGAGTTTCCAGTGGCGGTTAGAACGCAGGGTACGGGCGTCATTTGGGAGAGGAATCAGGTCAAGCTTAGGCCAGTAGGCCCCCAAAAACATCTAATTTAAATGCTCCCAATCGCAAGGGACGGACACCCCCCACCCCCGCGGGCTGGGGCAGCTGAGGTGGCGCCGGGCGTTCAAATCGCGCTCCAAACAAGTCCGCAGCAACCGCGCTCGCAGCCCCCGCCAGGCGGCCCCAGCGGAAAACTTGAAAGGGACTCTGTTTGCCGGCGGCCCTGGGGCGGCTCCGGCGGGGGCGAGGGCCGAGCGATCACACACGCCCCCCTCCCCAGCGCTTCCTGAGCAAACGCGGGGGGGGGGGGTTGGGCCCACCACAAATCCAAGGGCTCCAAACAGCGCCCGCGGCGCAGGGAGAGGCGGGGATCAAGAGGCTGGTCCGCCGGCCACCCCTTCAGCCCCCCCATCCGAAGACGCGACTCTCAGACCACCCAGGTTTTGGGGGCAAAGTGGGGTGCGGCCGCCAAACCTTCAGACCCCCGTCACAAGAGACTTGAGGGAGCGAGTCTTACCGAATAAGTCACTACAGAACCCCCCAAATTTACTGGTGCCTCCTTGTAGCCCGTGGCACGAGCCCAACTCCGCGCGCCCCTTCGTGTTCCCGGCAGAGAAAAAAAAGAACAAAAAGATTTTGCTCCCTCATTGGCTGCTTCAACTCTTTTGACAGGTCCTGGAGGTGGCCCCCCATTTAAAAACTGGGGTCACTCACTTCTGTCGATCCTACAAATAAACAAAGCCAGGCGCACCCCGCGCTCCCCGCCGGAAAGCAGCCCATTCCGGGCGAGGACAACTTCCCCTAGTCAGAAAATTAACACATTCCTCTCGCGGCGGCTCAGCCCCTCGCACTGCTCCCGGGAAGCGCAGGGGTGGGGGTGGGGGGTCGTGCAGAACTTCAGGGTTAAATTTGGGGCCGGAGCAGCGTGGCAGGCGCCTGGGACGCCCGCCTCCCACAGTTCCGCAGCTAGAGCAACACCCCCATTTTCCTTCCCTGGCTTCGCACGCTGCTTGGCCCACGCGGGGCTCGAGAGACAGCCCCACAGACTCCCAGAGGCTGGGGAGGGAAGGAGAGAGGCCGCGGGGCACGGTGGTGGGGGGGGTGATACTTTGACGGAAAAAAAAAGGTCAAACTTGATCTGCCCGCCAGGCACCCCGCGGGCAGCGGGGGCGAGGAGCCGGAGGGGAAATGCAGAAGTGGCCGCCGCCTCTTCCAAGTGGTGGGGGAGGCTCTGAGCAGTTACAGTCAGTCGCCCCTAACGCAGGGCTGCGAGCGCGGTCTGCCGGGGGGGCAGTGCGCGCCACAGATCTCCAAGCAGCCGCCCCCGCAGGCGGAGCGCCCGCCCAACGCCGAGAGGTGAGGACCCCAGGAGTCCGCCGCCCCAGCGCCCGCGAGCTCCAGTAACGGGGGGCGGAACCCCGCAGGGAGAGCCTCAGCCCCACTCCGCGGCGCCCAACCCGCCGTCCGCGACCCTAAAACCCCTCTTTTTGTCTGAACTCAGTGATCTGCGACCGAGCATACTGCGGCTTGGGGAGGCTTGGGTATAGCAGCGGCCACCGAGCGATCACTGGCGCTGGGTCTCCCAGGCTCCGAGGCTCCGCGGCTCAGGCTGCGGGCGCCCCTGCCCCTCCCAAACACGGACCCCTCCTACCCAGTCCCTCGCTCTCCGCACCTGAACTTCGGGGGAACCCGCGCCGCCAAACTTTCAGCCGACTCGCACCGAACTCCGGCCCTGGCCGCGCACCGAACCCCGGGGGAGGAGAGGGAGGTAGGCGGGGAAGGGGAGGGGGCCGGCCTCCGGGGGGGGGGTCGAGGGAGGGCCGTGGCCCGACACCTACCGGCTCTCCAAGTCGTCCAAGCCGCCACCGCCGCCGTCGCCGCGAGGCCGAGGGGGAGGGGCGGGGCGGGGAGCTGCGCTCCGCTCTGGGCACCGCCGCCGCGCTGCGCTCCGCTCCAGCCGCCAGCCGTGCCCGGTCCGGAGCCGGAGTCGCGCCGCCGCGGCTGGCCCGAGGCGGGGAGGGGGGGGAGCCTGTAGCACCTGCCCCTCCTCCCCCTCCCCGCAGCCCAAATTAAAAAACAACAAAAAGCAACTAATCACCCCCGAGCGGAGTGCGGCGCGGCGGGCGGAGGGCTCGGCGTGCGGCGCCCGGACTCAGCGGGCGGCGCGCATGGCTGGGCGCGGGCTGGGAAGGGCTGGGACGCAGGGCCCGGCTCCGGGGGATGAGGCTCGGCCGCTCTGCTCGCTCGGCTCGGGCGCCTGCTCTTGCCGCCACCGCCGCCTCTGCTGCCGCCAATGCCGCCGCCTCTACATCCCCGCTCAGGCTCCGCCGCCTCTGCCGCCGCCACCGCGCGCCCGCCCGGGCAGGAGCTATGAACGCTGCCCGGGGGCTGCCGGCAAAACCCGGACCGGACTCGCCGCTCCCTCCTCCCCCCCCACCTTCACCTCGGCTCCCCTCCCTCCTCCCGCCGCCTCCCTCCCAGCGCGGCTCTGGCCACTTGGACGCCGCAGGCTCTGAGGCCGGAGCCGCAGCCGCTGCGCCTCCAGCTCCCCGCGCCCTGACGAGATCCGCCCAGGCTCAGCTCCCTCGAGCGCCCAGTCTTTACCTTTTTTCCATAACTTTACAAAAAGAAGAGGACCTCCCCCCTTTGGTGAGGGCTGACTGGGTTTGAAGACGCACCTTCCGGGGAAATATGCCCCCTTTTCTCCGGGGCAAGACGCTTCGAGGGAGGGTTTGGCCGCGCCCCCCAGATCAGGTGCGCAGCTGGCTAGGAAGTCCTAGCCGAGGCTCTTGGAGTTAGACACATGTTCAAAGACCCCACCCTTGCCAGACTCAGTGGGCACTAGGTCTCCAGGAGAAAATGTCCCCATTTCACAGATGGGGAAACTGATTCAAGAAAGGATATTTTGTTTCCTACGCAGGCGCCAGCCTAAACTCTGAGTCCTGGGGCTAAGGCGACTCTTACATTGTGGTGCCCTGGGACCGTGGCCTAGGAACTGAGAGCTTGAGACTGCCCTGAGCAGCAGCCCTCAATAGATACTGGTTGTAAGAGAGAAAACGCAGCCTTGCCAGAATAGGCGCCCAGTGAGGCAGATTGGGACCGCACATCCTCTCTTTCACTCCGTCCTCCCAGCTTGGGCTGATCCTACGACTGCAAATGTCTTCTCCACCGCGGGGACCCACAGAGAGAGCCCCGGGCTCGTATAATCCCAAACTGCATGTAATCACAAAGTGGAAGTTTTCTTCCATTCTCTGGAATTCGTGGGGGCCCGTTTGTGCAGCAAGCAGATCCTCTGCAAGGAAGAGAAAACGCACCCTCAGACCCGACCCGACGGTGGGGGAGGGGCAGGGCGGTTGGGGAAGTCTGCCTAGGGTTAAACGTTACTGCCTGAGATTGGGGCCCAGATAACAGGGAGTTAACTGCGGCAACCCCGGCGCCTCCAGCCACAGGCGCGGCCTCGGTGAAAGAAGCGAAACCTGTCTCCCACCTCGCTGCTTCCTCTCCTCTGCGTGGCCAGGCTATTTCCGAGGCTGGCATGAGAGCAATGGGGCCTGGGTCTCCTGGGAGCAGCAGCTGCCACCCACCCTCCAAGCCTTCCATATGTGGCCTTGGGGCCTTGACCCACCCGGGGTGAGGGGATGGGGGAGGTGTCAAAGAGCAGAGCTCAACGGAAATGTGTTGCTTCTCTCCCACTCCTGACATCCGAGGCCACATGAAGTGACCCCTCCCTAGACATCGTGGACACCCCCTCGCAGCCAGTTCTTGCACAGATGCTGACAACTGTCCTCCTTTAACTACTGTGCCAAGGAATGTCTCCTGTGGGGAGATGTTTAGCCTCTCTCCTCCCCAGCAGCCTTTTTCAACGCCCACCCTCCGACAAACATACCATGTGAGTAAAAGCAAGGTGCTAGCTATGGAAACAGTTTTAAGATAGTGAACAGCCCCAGATTGTCACCCCTAAACTGCTTAAAGATAGACATTCTGAGCATCATCCTAAGTGTCAGGCACTGTGTTGGGCACTGACTTTATAAGGAAAAAGGATGCAGAATCCCAGGTCTAGATGCTCCAGGATCTCCAAGCACTTAGTGTGTCTCCAAGCACTTAGTGTATCTCCATCTACCCTTTCTGGGGAAACTGAGTCACAGACTGTGAGGGAGGACCTCTGCCCTGGGAGTCAGCAGCAGGCCTCTCGGAGGATTAGGACCCAAGAAGTGAAACTCTATGTTGCAGAGTTCCTGAAGCCTAGGGTCAATGCAGACTCAGGTCATGTACATCTCCTAAAAAGTTTTACGCTGGGACCCAAGGGGGAGGATGAGTAGTGGCTCCACCTTATGGAATTGCTGACTATTAATTATCCACTTTTTTTGAGATCTCTGCCCCCCCATCCCATCCTCCAACTCAAGAGGGCAAAGGCCAAGGAGATGCAGGCTACAATGGAGGAAGGCCAGGTGATCTCCATGGTGATGGCTTCCTCAGGGGAACCTGTGATGACATATGTCTGGCCCAGTTTAGAGGGCAGGTCTTGGAGTCTTCCCCTTCTCCTAAAAATTAAGAACTGGGGGCAGGCCGGGTGTGGTGGCTCACGCCTGTAATCCTAGTACTCTGGAAGGCTGAGGCGGGCGGATCGTTTGAGCTCAGGGGTTCGAGACCAGCCTGAGCAAGAGTGAGATCCTGTCTCTACTAAAAATAGAAAGAAATTGGCCAAACAACTAAACATAGAAAAAATTAGCCGGGCATGGTGGCGCATGCCTGTAGTCCCA